GGTAGCAGGAAGCTCTCCACACACTCACCGGACCTGGGCTAGGACTGGGTCTGGGGGCTCCCAGAACTCGGCAGAAAATCCTACTCGGCCGAAGAATATAATTTCTTAAACTTTAATTTTATTAACATTCATTTAATTTTGGGTAATAAAATGAGCATGCTTGATTTTCAGTATTTTTCTTGCTAAAAATGTAGAAGTATAATAACAAAACATTGTAAAGAAGACAAATAGTTCCTTTGTCAGTGTCAGCCATGTGGATAAGTCATGGCCATTGCTTTACCAATATGCTGTCTGGTAAATCCTGAGGAAATTTGATTGACCTTGTCAGACACAAAAGTTACACTTCTTCTTATATAGGTCTTGCTTTATCTTGGTTTTAACCATCCAGCAGAAAAGTATAAAAACGAGGTATGAAAAGTAAAGCCGTATTAATATGCTGAGCTGTGAAAGGCTCAAGTCAACAACTTCTGACATTGCCAGTCCTACAGATAACCCACTACCATTGTGGACTACTGGACTATATTGGATTATTTTGCTGAATTCATGCACCTACAATATTTAAATGGCAATGAAATACCCATCTCTGATAAAGCTAAACAAAAAAAAGGGGATACAAATGAAGGACCATTTTGTATTTGTATATACAAAATAGGATAGATATACACCAACTTTCTCTTAATTTAGTGAGAAGATTTGTATTAATATTGTTTGAACAGGATATCATGTCTGTATCTTGCACTATGAATAATTACTATGAAGACAACAATATGCAATGTATTAATTATTGAAACTTCCTACTAATAGGTTTTGAAACTGTCTCATTGCTATTTGTTTCCCAATAAAATTAATTAATTTTTTTAAATGATAAGCCTTTTGTATACTTTAATACAGTAAAAATAATTAAAAATAAAATTGAAAAATAGTTTTACAGTTAAAAAAAGAAGACACATAGTGATTTTACTCCCCAGAAATGATGTCTGGTAAAAAGCTATCCATTATACAGTTAAATAAGACTTCTAAAACAATTTTTTTAATAGATTGTTTTGCAACTTCATGGTCTCAGGTGTCCACAATTTCAGTGTCTGTGGAAATAGACAATAATAAGTCTCCCTTAGTTACAGTGATAGTCTGATTTTATTATGCCAAATGCTGATTTCAGTGCCAAATGAATTTAAGTATGGTTTCAAATAATTGTTTGTTTACACTCCAGATGTACCATAGAATTCGTCACTCAGAGTGCATTTACCGGGTCACTATGGAAAAGCTGTCCTACCATAGCATTTGCACCGCGGAAGAGTGGCAAGGCCTCATGCACTTCACGCTGCCTCTACGACTCTGCAAAGAAATTGAACTGTGAGTGCTTTGTTTTGCTGGTTTCTTTATTTTTCTAGTATTAAAAAAAAAACTTGAGTCAAAGTTGAATTTATATGTATGTTACAGGGGACCTCACCGAGCTAGTCTTCAAGAGAACCCAGACAAAGCAGAGTAGTAGCCACCCTTTAACTGATAGGAGCCCAGTTATGTGTGGCCTCTTAGTACAGTCAGCGAAGTTTACTGTACCTTCGTTCCAGAGAACAGCTGGCAATTGTGCCATGACAAACATTTAACGATTGCATCCTAAGTGCCAGCCTCTGTGCCACGTGTTCCAGGCACCTGTATCCTCATGACAACTGGAGAGGGATATGACTGCTGTTCCCTACATATAGATAATAACACTGAGAAATAAAGTGCTTGTGGGTCTACGGATCACACAGTAATGACAGGGTTTGGGTGGGAACCCCTAGGGCGTCTGACTTCAGAGTTGTGTCCAGAGTTGCTTGGAAGTAGGCTCTACTGTCGTGCTCCACCAAAGAAGCAATGCATTTCTCAGCTGAACATAGTACAGCTCAAAAATAATTTCCTGGGCATTTCTTTTGGTGAATATTTACAAAGCAAGGTGAGATGCTAAAGCCTAAGAGAGGCCTTCATATGGTACAATAAAGTGGGAAAGACAATAGATTTTTAATTTAATTGAATGAAAACAAAGTATGTTATAGAGCTAAAATCACAAGCATTGTGATTATCACTACTGTTTATAGACCTCACATTTTTCTTTGTTTATCCATATTTTAATAATCCACAATAATTATCTATGTTTTATGTGTAGTATGTCATTTTCTTCTGCTTACTTTAGAAAACAAAATTTGAACTTCTTTTTGAAATCACTTAACCTAAATGTTAACATTTTTACTACCCTGTTGCATACTTTATACCATGTAATATTTAATATTCAATATGTTGGAGTTTTTTTGTGGAACTGGGAATTGAACTCAGACCCTTGCGCTTGCCAGGGAAGCACTTATTCTACTGGGGAGCCATCTCCCCAGCTCTTCAATATGGTTTTCAATGTCAGATAATAAAAACCTCTATATCAATTTAAAATTTCAAATTAAGTTCAAGAATTCAGCAATAATTCCACTTTTACACTTTTTTCTATACCTGCTAATATTTAGCTCACTAGTGTTGTAATCTGTAACGATTTATGGCTCATGGTGAGTACAAACTAAGAGTAGTTATCTACATATGAAACCTTCAGAAATGATTCATCCAATGCGTACCTTACAATTCAGAATACAGTATTTCATTGGGGCCAGGGATATAGCTCAGCGGCATAAGCACCTGCCTGGCAAGCACAAGGTCCTGAGTTCGATCCCTGATACAAAAACAAAAAAAAGTACAGTATTTTACTATACTGTTTATTCCAAACAAATGATAATAACTATAATATTAAATGAATAATAAGTATTAATATAATAATTTTATGTTCTATATATGTATGAGATTTTTATTTCAGTTCAAGTAAGAAATAGAAATTTTTCAATTTTATTTTAATTGTTTTTGAAAAAATGTATTTTAGTATAGGGTCTACAGGGTCTCACAACATAGATCAGACTTGTGTAAGCCTCCTGTTTTCAGCCTCCCAAATGCTGGGTTTACAGGTATGCGCCACCACGCCCAGTCTCAATCTCCTTCTCAGAGCACCCTGGGGGAGGAGCCGGCACGGACATGGGGGTGGGAATGAACCCCAGTCCCTGTGTCTGCCTAAGCAGGCACTTTTATCTTCTGAGCTATATGGCTGGCCAAAAATTTTCAATTTTAAAAAATAACTTCTGATAAGGCTTTTCCCCTTATCTGCAAGTTGTATAGTATATATGTAGCATTCAGATGTAATTTTTATACTTATTATTCTGACAATGAATGCAGCTTTTTTCTTTTAACAGATTGTATAATAGAAAATTAAATAATGCTTAAATTCTTGAAGAAATATATACAATCTCCTTTCAATACCTTTCAGTATCAGACAGATGTAATTAAGGATGGCAAAGAGCCCAGTGTCTTCTTAGTCTCTTCATTAAAAAAAAAAGTTAAATGATGTTCTTTACTTATTGTTTTTCCTAACTGCATTTAAAAATAAACCCTCTTTTGATTTCAGATTCCACTTTGACATTAGTCCTTTTGAAAATATGTGGCCTGGAATCTTTGTCCATATGGTTCATCAGTCCTGTGGGGCATTCTGGTATGGCTGACCTAAAAACTTTCTTTTTAAACTGTTGAGCAGTACAACCTCTTCCTCCTGTGTATATGCCTCCCCACTTTCTTTGTTTATAATTCTCTTATTTGCTCCTGAATATTCCAGTGAAAATGGGCTGAGGCTGTTGAACAGCTCTGTAGCCTCCTCAGCTCTTCCTTAACCTGCTGGATCCTCTAGCAGTGGGTCGGAGCCTGGGTGAAAATCCTGCTGCAGGGTGGCTGCTGTCACAGAGGCAGCATGGGACTGCTTGACTGAAGGAGGCAGGACTTAGGATGCCAAATAGAATTTTGTGCCTTTAAAAGTGTGGCTAAATTTAGCAACTGTACCTAAATTTAGCAACTGTACCTAAATTTAGCATCGTTTCAACTCTACATGTATGTTAGAGATTACATGTAAAAGACATTGTAATTACATGATGCTACTACATCATAATTTTGCATCATTCTCTGAAAATATTGGTCCACCATTTTGGCCTATCCTAGAGGCCTTTGTGATTTAAAATCTGGTTTTTCTTAGCTTAAACACACAAACTTAAAATGAAAAGCATGATACCCCTCCCTGATACAGAAATTAAGTTTCTCACAGAGCGGCTTAGTTTCTCTAGAACTACCATAACACTTTGTTTCTTCTGTGTGTGCTTTTTAATCAACTTTTGGAGAGGGTACACACAGGACAGCTGACTCCATTTGTTCTGTAGATATTAGTTGAGAGTGTGAACAGCCAGAATTCTAAAATGCTGTACTTTTTAATTAAAGACATTTGAAATTTTTCAATTGGGAGAAACACAGGCTGTGTATTCTTTAAAAATTTATGTACTCTCCATCTCCCTACTATTCCATGAGGTTCTTTTGTTTTAAACTGCTTAAACATATTTTGATCTCTCAAAGATAGAGCTTCAAATAGGAATATGCACATGAGATATACTATTATTCACACACATAAAATAAAAAGCAATGATAAGACTTGTAAAAACATATATTTTTTTAAAATATGTCAGCATTTAGATAAGGCCATTTGCAACTTAATGATCTGAGAATACCAAAATACCTTCAATTCACTTTGAAAGAATAATCAGTAATTTAGAAAAGTATCATTCTTGTATAGGAAAATAATTATAACACTAATTACATTAATTATCATGTTAATGATTATATATAATCTGAATATGCTGTTTGGAAAAATAAGCTCAAAATACCCTTGGGCAAGATAACATTGAGTGGCGGCCTTTGAGCACGGGGGGCATAGCGGGAAATATACAAGTATAAGTGATGATGGGTGACAGGCTGCCGATTCTGGTCTGAACCTCTGGTGGAACAGTTAAGAATATATCAGGATACAAGCTGTATGAGTGTCCATTTTATTAGTTCTTTCTGACCAGATAAGGGAAGTGACAAGTGAATTTGCACAGCTCTTGAGTTCAATGTAGGGAGCTTTGCACCTGGGGGTGCTGAGGGAGCAGGGCGCACAGCTGGGGGTGCTCCTGGGTGGAGTGCTGCTCTGCTGGGGTTGGTCATAGTGGTTTCTTCTCCATACAGTTTTGACCTTGAGAAGTTGTGCCGGTTTATTATGTCTGTGAAGAAGAACTACCGGCGAGTGCCGTACCACAACTGGAAGCACGCAGTCACAGTGGCCCACTGCATGTACGCCATCCTGCAGAACAACTACAGCCTCTTCACTGAGCTCGAGGTGGGTATGCAGGCCCAGCTCCTGGGGCCATGCAGCCTCAGAGGGTATGATGCTGTGCCTCTGGAGCACATGCGCAGCATGGATTCCAGGACAAATCTGGCTTTGGTAAATTAGTAGAAATATATTTTTTTAAAAAAATTACAGTACCCAAGCATTTAGTATGTTCTCTATATTAAGAAATGTAAATACAGAAATTTAAACTTCACCAAAATATCTCTAAAGGAAACACTAACTTTTGTAGTATATATTACCAGTTAAACTATAAATATTCTGATAGGATGTACACAGTGAATTTCTTTCTTTCTTTCTTTCTTTCTTTCTTTCTTTCTTTCTTTCTTTCTTTCTTTCTTTCTTTCTTTCTTTCTTTTTTTT